GTCTTAATTTGTTTAGCTAAAAGCATTTGCCGAAAAAACCGGTGCCGGTAGCAACAAAAACTACAGTCTTACTCCTTCTTTGGACCTCTGCAGCATCTGGTTTATTTCGTAAGAGTTGTTGGCAATAAAAACTGTTTTGTCGGCGAAGCATAAATGATTTAGATGTCCACCATCGATCTTTGGGCCACCTTTTCAATCTAATTTCCTAAATAACATTTCGAGGCGAGCCTTGAAAAGCTTAGGCAATACGGGATCGCCTTGCCTCATTCTACCGTCTTTCGGCATGCGAATTGGATTGGAAAGTAGTCTGTCAGTAACCTGTGTTTGCGTCCGTAACAATTCTCACATAGTTCCAATTCCCATAAGTCCTTTTATCCTACTGTTGTTCGTAGTACAGCATCCAGCTCTACATTGTCGAATACTTCATATTCAACGAATACGAGACAAGGAAAAAGTTGATACACTCCTACGTTTTTCAGTAACTGGTTTAGAGCGAAAATTTGGTCCGTCTTACTGTAATTTAGATCAGCTTGCTACCTTCACTGCTGTTCACAAGGAGACTTGTTATTCCATTAGCGTGTCCTTGTGATCAGTTTGTAAATGTGGAAGATAAGCAGATAGGGCAGTGATTTTTCAGATCCTCTTTATCGCCTTTTTTTGCGCGACAAAACCGCCTTCGTTTCATTCTAACTTTTTAAATTTAGGGTAGCGAAAAATAATAAAAATATAAAATAATGTATCAGCTGCAATATGCCTGGTCTTCAAAAAGCAGTGGGCGCATTTTAACTTTAGTATCTTCCATCCAGACTTCTGTTTGTCTTACACTTTTTTCAGCTGTTTGGATTTGCTATGATCTAGACTTTCCTGCACTAATTTTTTTCATTAATTTTTTTTAATTTTTTAACTTTTTTAATTTTTTTAATTTTTAATATTTTTGATTTTAATTTTTATCTATTCTTAATTTCAATTTTAAATTAATTTGGTTTTAAAATAATTTTTTAATCTAATTTAATTAATCGATATTTTTAATATTGATTTTTAACTAATAATTTCTAATTTCTTAATTTTAATTTTCTTTGGTGCATTAATTAATTTTTCATCTAATTTTCACGTTTCGGCCATTCTTCTGCTCTTTTGCTTAAATTCCTCCCTCCCCCCTCCCCTCTCCTTCCACTCCTTTCGCCTCTCCCACTCCTTTTGACTAAATTTTACTCTCTTTTGTTAGCTTTTGGCTTTTCGAGCGGTCTTTTTTTCCTTATTTTCATTTCTTTTTGGCGATTTAAAATCTTGCTCAGTGTAAAAAGAGAATCGATTGCCTTCCCCCTTCCTCCTTTTCCTGTCCAGAGATCCTCTCCTGGATACATCATTAAGTGTATTTATAGGCTGCAGCAGAAACGTACTTTACCTTTGCTTTAACTGGGAAATTGGATCTGATGTTCGCTAGTTTCTCAGATGCCAGCGACGATGATTCTGGTGAATGCAGAACGGTCAGTTGTATTTCTCGAATTTGATCAGTTTTAGCCGGTTGCACTTTTTCTACTTTCCGCATCACTGATGCAGCGCGAAGCCGTTAAGATTGTTGTATACCCGTTTGCCTCTGTATCCCTTTTTTGCTACATTTTTCTAAATTATGAAAGGTTAGGAGGCGAAGTATTGTGAACAAAGTTCCTCTTCGTTTGCGGGACCTCGGACTTGAAATTACTTTCTGTCGCCACATTAACCTCAGATAGGCAAATTTTGCAACTCACAAACCAAAAAATCATGGAGACTTGAAATCTGGCAAAAACTCCTTAGCCGTGCATAAGACCAAAACCTGAAACGAGCTTCACTCTCTGCTCTGGCCTACTGTTTCGGAACCAAATTTAAACAAATTTTATAATGAGGGAGCTGAAGGAAGTACAGATCTGAAATTCCGAGGACAAAATCCCTAACCGTTTATAAGGCCTTATATCTGAGTTTATGAGGCATTGTACCAGAGTCTTTTTTTGTTCTTTAACCTGTTTTTCTCAGATCCAAATTCGTGCTTTTCTGGAAATCTGAGTTACTGCGTACTCGGAATTTTGGAGTTTATTTCGCCACGTTTTATTAACCGAAAATCCTTTTTGTTGTTTCCTTTTATGGTTGGAAATTCGCAGTCACAGCAGCGTACTGCACTGTGATAAAGGGGCAGTCATTCCCATGTGTGGTTATTTTCCGTGTTCCTGGTAGTCCTGTTGCACTTCCTTTGTTGCTGTATCATTCTCGTTTCTTTTCAATTCCAATAGGTGTTATCGCATTTTGCAGATGGATCCGGGAGGTAAATTTTGCACCAAAACCATATAGACTTTTCTTACATAAATCATAAAAACACTTTTTTGGTGCTACTATGTCGTTGTATGTGTGTGTGTGTGTGTCCGTCTGTCTGTCTATCACGATATTTTGTTTCCAAGCTACAAAAGCTAAAAGACTAAACTTTGGCAGCATCTTCCTTGTCCACGTAAGACATCGCGGTTGTAAATTTACTTTTCACTCACTCTCGCATCGTGATGTAGAGAAGGTAATGTACTTGGGTCTACGACTCTGCATCGTGTCAGCACAGTAGCAGAGTGCAGTGCGATATTCGAAATATTTATTTACATCTAGACTGTATGCTGTCATTGAATAAATAAGTGGAAAAAAAAGCCATTGTAAGAAAGAAAACAAAATCACCTACATGTTTTCTGGCATTTGTTCATAAGTTCGCAGCAACATATCGCAAAAGCGCATAATCGCACCGGCTGCCTTTCTTATCACATTTTTGCTTTTACATCGCTGATATCACTGAGACTGTGGTCAAGATGCAGCTATGTATTGAACATAGTAGTGCTAAGCTAAACAAGTTCCCGGCTTTTTTAACTTGGATGGCATTATCAGTCATTTCCATTGTCTTCGCAAAATGTAGTGATCGTTTTCCTTTATTCTATTCCACGAACGAATAAATGAATTTGAAGGATACAAATGAAAGGTAACTCGATGTTACTAATTCCTTAACACAGATATCTGTAGGATTTTTAGTTAGGAACAGCGGAAATGGATCCATTTACGATTGAACTGCCTTCGGAATTGCCAGTTCCACTCGATGAACTGCGTGATAAGCTACAGGAACTTTCGTGTGTGAAGTTTTTGCACATGCGGCAAATCATGCAACGAAAAGAGGGTTAGGATTATCAATTGATTCCTTTTTACAGTATGAATATGAAAAGGACTGCCTGTCTGCTTTTTGCTGGAATCTATTAACTTAATTGTCCAAATTAGGAATACCCGATCCTTAAAAATAGGTTCCATTGCTGGCCACTAAAGTTCGTTGTGGCAAATGCCTACTACATTCGCCTATTGTTTTCTGTGCTAGTTCTTTTTAACAGTGATATATATTAAAAAACTTCTTCATTTAGGGCGTAAAAAGTTTCAATAATATTAAAACTGATATTAGAATTTAAGTTTAAATGTTGCTTTTTATTACGATTACACTGTCTCTTGTTTTACAACGCGAGTCCGTCGAACAATTCCTGATTTGCTGTTGACTTCTATGAAGGACCACTGTTCGTCTTCATAGGCTCCTGTAACATGCAGTGTTCGTTTTTATGAAATATACAGATTGTTTGACATCAGGAGGATAAGCCAGACCACCGCACTCACTAGTAAGACATTGCATCTCCAAAATTGTGACTGAATTTTTTTTTTGTGAAGTGGGCTTCCTGGTGACGGTTCTTGGCAGGCGGTTAAGTCCAAATTGGCGAATCTTTCGAATAATGTGTGTATTTAAATTTCAGAACGTGTTATTGTTTCTGCCGTTGGTACAATCGAATCTGTACATAAACTACGTGGATTGCTATCAGTACAGCCGGCAGTTAGTTCATTTCCAAACTGCCAAGAGAATGGTAAAGCTATAAGCCGACATATTCTGCCACGCTTCGAAAAGCTTGGAATATGTGAAATAGAATCTGAAAATGAAAGTGCGGCTGACAGTGGCGAAGATGAATTAGTTGAAAATAAAAGTGTGTCGGTTCAGGATGAAGGCAGAGTAACTGAAAAAGAGGATGCATTTGCCCATAACGAAGTTGTAATTGAGAAAGAGGATGCCGCTGCCGTTGATGAAGGCAGAGTAGATGAAAATGAAAATAAATATGCAGCGGCTCATGATGAAGGCAAAGTAGTTGAGAATAAAGATGCGGCGGCGGCCGTTGATGAAGGCACTGTGGCTGAAAATGAAAATGCAGCTGCTTATGACGAACATGAAGTAGTTAAAAATGAAGGTGTGGCGGCTCATGATGTAGACAATGTAGCTGAAAATCAGGTTGCAGCGGCTCATGATGAAGATAAAGTAGCTGCAAAGGAAGAAGCAGCGGCCGGTGATAAAGGTATGAACTTTGTCGGATGTCGAGTAATTATGTAGGATGCGTTTTCTGGTTGTGTTTTACCAGTTT